TGTGTGTGTGTGTGTGTGTGTGTGTGTGTGTGTGTGTGTGTGTGTGTGTTGTATGCATATGTATGTGGGGAGTGCCTGTGCATGCACACACAGAAGCCAGAGCAGGAACTCAAGTGTCCTGCTCTGTCACGCTATGCTCTATTCCTCTGAGAAAGGGTCCCTCACTGAACCTGGAAATGGCCTCACCAGGCCACACTTAGCTTTCCTGCCATAGTGTGCACATGGAGGTCAGAGGGGTAGGTTCTCCCCTCCATCATGTGAGCCCTAAAGGTCAAACACATCAGCAGGCTTGGAAGCCAGGCTCTGCACTCTCTGAAGCCCACTCCTTCCACTTTTACATGAGTTCTGGGGATCAACTCATATTAGCAGGCTTGTGAGGCAAGTACCTATACCTGCTGTGCCATCTCTCATCTTTTAATACTCTCATTATATATGGCAAATATACTAGTATTTTTATATATACTTATATAAATATAATATATATAATATAAATATACTTACTAGTAACTGCAAACTTCACACCTGTATTTTAATACGGAAATTAAGGGAAACCAATATAATAGTAGCAGATATTTGTTTCAGATTCTTACTGTCAGTGAAGGTAGATGAGTAAATGCTTTAAAAAAGTGAGCATGGGTAACTGATGACTTTTTGTAACATGAAAATGTATACTGCTGAAAAAAATCTATCGATAAGACTTCTCTGTGGGCATGACTCCCAACCTTGAATGCCAATCTCATTTATCAACTAATAGTAATAGTATTATCTTACATGAGTTGAAGCATATAAGACAATTAATTGACAGGGAATGTATTCAGCTGTATCACTGTAAGGTATTATATGTTCACTGCAGACCATGTTACATAGTGAGTGCTGCCTTCCCGTGGGTAGGACTATCTGACTTCGGATCCTAGGCTATCATCAGTTCTATTCCAATTCATTGTTGTTTATTGTTATTTTTACATTTTTTTTGTGTGTGTATGTCTATCTGTGTGCAGGTCCCCATGAAGACTAGAAGGGCTTGGGATCCCTGGGGCTGGAGTTACAGGCTGTTCTGAGCTGCCTGCTATAGTGTCCCGCCCCGCGGGACTCAGTTATTCATGGGGGCGAAGGGGGTCAATCCTGAAAAAGATGGGGGAGAGAGAGAAAGGACACAAGCAGACAGTTGCCGGTCAAGTGTCTCTTTTAATGAACTTTGGTGTTTCTTTTAAAACGTGGTTTTGGTAGGGCGGGGGAGAGGGGCGAGAAAGGAAAGTAATAGTGGAAAAATACCAAGGCCCTTGGTGGGAAGTTCCCAAGGCTAAGAAGGTGGGTTAAAGAGTTACAAGGCCCGAAGATAACATCGGTGGTCACATCGGTGGTCACGGATGTGTCCCAAAGCAAACAGTTTTGGGAACAATGGGTTGTAAGAAGCTATGGCCTGCTGGCGCCCAGTGCTTATCTGGCAGGTCAGGCCCTTAGGAAGGGTCCCAGGGCTATGTTCCCAACACTATAGGTGCTGGGAATTGGACTTGGGTCATCTGAAGACCGACAACAAATGCCACCCTCCAGCCCCAGTTCTGTTATCTTAGCACAACGGTTCACTTCCCCAAGTCCCATCTTGTCAATAAACAGAGAAACTCGCAACACTTGTATGGCAGAGTACAGAGTAGGAAAGGATGTGCGCAGCTCAGCCAGTCACACATGAAGATCAGCTCTCAGCAGGCAGAGGGTCTTCATGTCGCAGTGGTGGTGCCTGTGTCTTCCATTTCCATTCTTGTCAGGAATTAATGGAGTTAAGTCATCTAAAGAATGACTTAGTTATAGTTAAGACTTACTGACGTAGTTATAGTCAATCATAGTTAAGAAGAAGACCTTAGGAAAAAGCTTTGTTTAATTTAACATCCAGTTTAATACCAAGATCATAAAGTGTTACATCAATGTAACTAAAGACAAATTGTAAGTTTTGAGAGCTGGGGAGATGATTCAGTCAGTAACATGCTGTTTGTTCCTTAGACCCATGTGAGTAAACTGGGCATGGTGGTATGTGCTTGTACAGGAGGATACCTAGAGCCTACTGCCAGCAGCCTAGCCTACCTTAGGAATAAAAGAGCCTGTCTCATAAAACAAGGTGTTGAGAAGCAACAGCCAACATTGTTCTCTAGATTCTATATGCAGGTATACCCACACATTTATAATACACACACATAGACACGCATGCACACACAAAATGTTTGACAACATATATTGTTTACAATGTTTATTATTTTCTAATTCAGCTAACATGTATCTAGGAAACATTATACATGAGAAATTTGCCACAAAAATGAACACAAATATAAGTATACTGACTGAGTTCTAATATACAAGTTTGGAAATGGCCTTAGTTTTCACTTGAAAGAATAGAGGTAGGCGTTAGTCCCTGTACTCATCCATTGAATGTAATGGCACAGTAACTCATGCCACCCATTCAGCAAGGATCTGAGTTCATGAGCTCATTCAGCTACAACAACGTATATACGGTGTATTCATTTTACCACACAACAAATACTCCAGAGCCTCCTGTGAGAGACACTGTTCTGCAAACACATAGTGGTTCAGCAACACAAGGCCCCGTCTCCCTTCCAGTTCTGTATTTCTTAATATTGGAACATTTCCCCAATGTACTTGTATGAAAAAAAAAAGCATATATACCTGGATTCCATTTGTACGTGGATTATGATTTCATGTCCATGCATTTTCCCTAATGAAAAATCTGGATATATGTTCACAAAAACTATTGATAGTCCTTCTTTGATGTTTGGATTTTTATATTCTATCTCATTATTCATCTCGTTTATTTTTAAATGTTTTATATTAATATGGCAAAATTAAAGATCAAAGTGACAGTAGCTTGAAACTTCAAGTGTAGCATTCACCATGAATTCTTTTCTTATGTGATATTATAACTTCTTACAGCTGCATTATCCATTTTGGAATAACTTCCTTTCTTGCTTACAGCCTGGAATCAAACAGTATGCAAGTGCTACAGGCTCTCTTACAAAAACTGCTTTAGCCAGTGAGTCCTTACTAGGTCTACAAGCCTATGGCCGACAGGTAAGACTCCTGGGCCGCTTCCTCTCTAGAGCAGTGGGTGCACGATAGCCCTGCCACTCCTCATCAGGAGGTTTCTGAAATGGGCTAAAGGAGTACAGTATAGATAGGAAAATGGGCTCAAATGGTAATCTTCAGAGAGATAGAAGGGACTGTGCTCAGGCTTCAGAGAGCATGGAAATTACTCAGCCATGAACAGTATAAGAAAGGAAAAGTTTTGTTTTACATGTTTGGAGGTCCCCCCCCGAGCATGCTGGGAGTTGAAATTTGGGGCCTTGTTATGTGCACGTGGGTCCACCAGAGTTCTCCCTTTAGCTCATGAAGGTTTAACTTGAAGACAGTGAATGCTAAATGCTTTATCTCAGTTTGATTCTGTGGAGTGCATACCCACCGACTGACACATAACATTTACACTCTTACGTTTAACACAACTTGCACCTTCATATCAAGTACCTGAAACATCCTGAGTTTAATCTACATCCATTTTAATGACTTATGTTGAAAATTGTTTGCATCTTAGGTGAGCACTAACTCATAAAACAATCTTTTCTGCACTTAGAAATGCCAAATAAGTTGTTACTCTATGGAGAAGACTGATAGACTATAAACCTCATGAAAGAAGAGAAGTGGCTGGTTTTGTAGATACAAGTACTGACAGAGATCTGTCTAAGTGAATGATCAGTAAATAATCAACATGACATGTGAGGACAGCTTAAGCATAAGGGAGGAAGTGTAGGGAGACACGCTGGCTGCGACCTGTGTTCGGTCCTCACAAGTCAGCATTACCTTGAAGCCTGAAATGAGGCTTTTCCTTTGAGCCTCCCTCCCTGCTAAAGGAGAGAAAAGGTGATACTGATAATGATTGTGACTGGATGATGATGGTGATGATGGTGATGACAATAATAGTCATGTTCTGTCTGCAGTAAAGATTTCTTAGGAAACTGGAAAGCTTCTGGGAGTCAGAGGTGCCTCAAAAAGGCACATATATACTGTTTACTATTGCCTTTTTAAATATACATGTTACCACTCTAGAAATTAGGGAGTAATTATCAAATATTATTCGGTGGTCAGACTTAATTCAAAATCATCACCCCCAAAATAATCTTGGGTATTTTATAACCACCAAAGTTCATAATCAGTATAGAGATAACTGAGTCACTGCTGCTGTACATTAGTTTACTGATCAACAATGTTGTCACCCTCACCTTCTTCCTTGCTCAGTGGGAGAATGTACGCATTCAGGTCAAGGCTACAGAAAGAAGTAGCCTTATTACATAATAAATATTATTATTATAAATAGTCTTATTATTAACATGTATAAATTATTTGTGAAAATCTGTATTATCATTTGACACATATAGAAACATCTCAAATATATTCTTCTTGTTTTGATTTGTTTTGTTTTTGAAACAGAGTATCACTGTATAGTCTAGGATGGCTACGTAGTCTAGGCTAGCCTCAAAGTTACAGTAATCCTCTTGCCTCAGACTCATTCACACTGAAATTACAGGAATTAGCCACCATACCTGGCTAAGATGTACTTTTCTTGGAATGTATTATATGTCAATAAGAAAGAAGTTTAAATAAAGGGAAAAATAATATTTTTACCTTCAGTGTGTTTCCTGACAGCAAAAATAATAATTAAGTTTGAAAAAAAATTTTTTAGCCAACCTGGTGCTATTCAAAGTACATAGAAGCACTGGAACAAGAGCGGATTCTTCTGAAAATTCAGGAAGAAATGGAAAGGAAGATGTTCACAGGTAACCTTTGCCTCTTATGTGCAGAACTGCCTTGTTGCATCTGCCACAGGCTAAAGTCGGGAGTTTGCTACAATCACCTTTTGTTTCCTCTCCTTCATCTCTGCGGGTATAGCCTCTCCCACAAACTTCTTAAACCTTCTACTGGCTCTGCTCCGTCTCTGAAGAAGAGCCTGTCTCTTTATGGCGTCCAGCGTCAGTTCCCAGGGACCCTGTCTTCAGCTCTTGTCTCCTCTCTGCTTCTTTATTAACCTTCCAGAACCCAAGGCCCTGGCTCTCCCCGCCACCAGCTTCTCACCCTCCAGTTAGAGAACTTTCAGTCCCTCTGTGTCTCTAGACTTTCTCCCAGACCCGTGCCTAATACTTCTCCTGTTTTCCAGGGTAGCAGCCTTTGAGTCCGTGTCTACACCCTGCTGCTGATAGGTACAAGGTAAGGCTTGCTGTGAGGCTTCCTTTGACTCCACACCCTCCCCTACAGGCAAACCTGCGCAGACTCAAACCGCACGTCTCCCACTCTCCCATGCCTCACTACCAAAGAAAAGGGTAGAAGAGCTTGTCTTCTGATTGACAAACAGTACGCTCTCTCAAGAAAAGATGCCTCTAGGGGAGAATGGCAAGCTTCCTAAGCTCCCCCAAGCTTCAGTGTGTGAAAGGCCCAAACACCCAGCTGAGTCCGTCTCCGTGCATACACTGATGAACTGTAGGATTCTGATTGGATTCTAATTCTAATGTGGAAGCGATTGTGTGAGCGCAGCCAATGAAGGCACCTTCTCTGTCCTCTGTCTTACCTGGTTTCCCAGAATCCTTTTCCCCAGCTCTTGGGGGCTGGAAGCGGGCTGGGGCGGCAGTGTTGGTGGTAAGCACTCCCCGGGCTGCTAATCTTATTTTCCTTCAAGTTAGCCTACCCCCGTCCCGCCTCATAGCTTCACTACGTAATGCCCTGAACTCTTAAGATATGTTTTGTTCGTTTGTCAGCTTGTTCTTAATGGAAAGCTCTTTTCAATTTTTATGATTATTGTTTAGATTTATGCATCTTTGTTTCATGCATTTTTTTTTCTTTTACAGGATTTCTTTAAGCCAACTTTAAGTAACCCAAGAAGCTGAATGCCTACATTTTTTGATAGTCTGTATTACTTTAGAATAGTATCTTCTACCTAGGCCAGAAGAATTAAAGGTTTTGCCTATCATGGTCCTTAAGGAAAAAGCAATATTATGTCCCTTGTGAAATCCTTTAACAGATATTTCATGCGGGCTAACTATATGTGGTTAGCAGATCTATCCTAGTGCAATTAACCCAAATCACAGAGGAGCCCATGTCCAGCTGGGATGCACTGGCTTTACACAGCAGTGCGCCCAAGACCCACATGGCGTAGGTTAGCATTTCACTAACTAACTAAGTGCTTGGCTCACTTCAGTTATTCATGGAGGCACTGTGGAATCACCATCGTTAGCAGACACCCAGGTAACTTCCATACGGACTCACCCTACAGATTACTCTTTTAGGCAGAAAGAAACAGTGCTTAGAAAGTGAAAAGCCCTGGCATAGGGCTACATTTGTGTTTAAGAGAGCACCAGACACAAACCTTCTGATGTGTGTCCCTGGGGAAGTAGGTGAACCTGTAAGAAATGACCTGAGAAGGGTGTTTATGCATGGCGCACATGCCTCAGGAGCTCCAAGGACCACAGCCCAGATTAGAAGCTATGTCCTAGGGTCCCACACAGTCCTAGAAGGTCTTTTCAGAGATAAAACTGTCATTTTAAATTCTCCAGGAAGTTTAGAATCTTAAATAGGGGAAGAATCAGGTGACATACTTCAAAGATCACCTTTCTTCTAAAGAAGGGATTTCAGACACTTGTTATCTGTTTGGATTTCTGAGGTGAGGATCTTGCTGTGCTGTCCAGGCTGTCCTTGATCCTCTTGAGTCTCTGGGATTACCAGTCAAGGTATGGACCACCATGCCTTGCTAGTTAAAATGTCACTGGCAATGTCCCTGCACAGTACCCCATGGAATTGGTCATTGTTTCACAAAGCTCCAAAAGAGCTCTCAATTTCTTGTGGTTTTCCATCCTTTTTCTACCTCCTCTATTTTAAGCTGAGATTTTGTTGGTTGGTTTGTTTTCTTGTGGTTCAATTTTTTTGTTCTCTCAAAATCATAATTCTTTTGAAATTTTAGTTTTTTCCCAGATATTCAGTGTCCATCACAACTAATGAAGCCCACTTTTTGCATGCCTGTCAAGGTCTGCTTCTTCCCTTGAGTTGTCCAGACACTGGTGTGCACCAGGCTGGACTGGAAGGAATGAAGCTTAGCTGGGTGGGTGGGTTAGCAGAATCTTGGTCCTTTGCTGCAGGGTGATAAAGGGTGATATAAACTGAAGGGAAGCGGCTAGGGGTTTTCAGGATGAGGGATATCATTGATGGATGCTGAGACACTGGGAATGCTTCACTTGCATGAAGAGGGATTCCAGGTGCTCTCTGGACATGTCCTCATAAGGAAGTTGTAACCTAAAACCTGGCTTCCAGGCTCTGGGACTACCCCAAGAGTGTCAGAGGTAGGGGTGGCAAGGCTGCATGCACTAGGCATGCAGGCCCAGAACAGGGAATGAGTTGTCCTTACTCTTGCCCACCTCAAGATGGGATTTTTGGGATTTGGACAAGTCTTGGCCTTATTCTTGCTGTGGGATGGCTCCCCTGGTTGTATGGCTCATGTGCCCACATAAGCACTATAAAATATTAAGAAAATTAAGTTTAAAAAATATTGTTATCTTCTGTTTTTCTTCCCTAATGTTCTTCCTTTCTTTATGCAGATAGTTTCTAACCTATATAATTTTTTTCTCTTAAAAGAACTTTTGACATTTCTTGCAAAAACAGGTTTATTCCAGACAAATACCATAGAAAAACCTTTATTTCTTTTGACAGATAACAGATAGTTGCTTCTGCTCCAGTCTTTGCCTTCTGCTCTTTCCGTCCTGCACACCGCTACCTTCACTCCTGTCCCTTAGTACTTAGAGACTGTCCTTTTCTCTCCCTGAGTTCAGTACAGCGAGTCTTTCCTCATCAGTGGCGACTCTAGATAAACTCGGATGTTCTTCATGTCAGAGATATTTCCATTGGATTCTTTTTGGCATTTTCTTCTCTGTGCTTGCTTTATCAATCTGATCTTGTTTATCATCCAGTTTTTTTGTTATTGTTGTTTTTGAGACGACAGTGTTTCTCTATGTAGGCTTGACTGTCTTAGAACTCATTCTGTAGACCAGACTGGCCTCAAATTCAGAGATCTGCCTGCCTCTGCCTCCCAAATGCTGGAATTAAAGACCTGTGCCCAGCTATCATGCAAATTTCAATGCTGGAGCTCTTGATTATTAAACACAGTCATGGTCAGCTTCTCAGCTTGGCAGTGCCAACATTCCTGCCATCTCTCAGACTGGATCACATGCTGCTTTTGGAGTCTGGACTGTGCAGTTTGCTTTTGAGTGTACTGTAAATTTTTGTTGAAAGCAGGACACAGAAATTGAGATGGATAGAACTGTGGCCTCTGTTTATCCGGCTGGCGGGAATTTTAAACTTAACTGTGGTAAAGGAGTCTTAGATTTTCTCTATGCTCTTATTTTCCTCTTTGTTGTTTTTGGTTTTTCTAAAGTCTCCTTGATAGTGCAGAAGGCTTGAAGTTCTTATTAAACCTCCTTATGTGGGAAGAAGAAAACACTTTTAGTCTCATGATCAGGTCTCAATGTTTTAATGAGCCTGAACTGAGTGTTTCTCTTCTGCCAGGTTGTTGGGGCATTGGTTTAAGAAAAAAAAAAAAAAAAAAAAAAAAAACACACACACACACACGCACACACAACATAGCAAACAAAACAAAATCTTTTTATTTTAGGTTCTAGTAAAGTTGTGTTTTGATGGCAGGCTGGTTAACAGAATGCAGAATGATCTTAAATTAGCTGTTTTACTCCTCCCCCTTCCAGGAGCAGGAGGGGTTCTCTTCATAGGCGAGCATGCCAGAATTCCAAGGAGGTAAAACTCAAGGAAGTGGAACTACAGAGATGGCTCAGCAGTTCCATCACTGCACACTCTTCCAGAGGGCGCAGGTTCAATTCATAGTACCCATAGAGTGGCTTACAATTATCTGTAACTCCAGTCTCAAAGGATCCAACTCCCTCTTCTGGCCACTGTGGACATCAGGCACATGAATGGTAGACAAACATACATTTAAACAAAGTACTCATATACATAAAATAAATAAATCAATTTTAAAAAGAATCCAAGGAAGTATGGGCCACTGAGAGTTTTAACCCGGCAAGCAGCCTCATTGCTCTAGGACAGCAGGCTGTGTGCCTGGTGTGCAGTGGCTCTCCGTCCCTGCCTGCCTCCCCGTCTGCAGTGGAGAGCCAGAGATCACCCTGTTACTACAGTTCTCTGATGTATCCAAGAATTGTTGCCTTTCTGTTTGTTGGGTTGCCTTCCTGTTGAGAGGATGGTTTACAATGACTTCCAAGCCCTTGACAAACCAGAGCAGGCCTGATGCTTGAAATCTGCTTGACATCTGCATTTTAAGTAGTCTGTAGACAGTTTGTGTACAACATGCATAGTTTTTAAAAAGTTAGTTTAACTATTAAATTGATGCTCATTTTTTTACAGTAAGTATTTACACATTTGTTTTTGGCTCTTCCTCAAAGCACGGCACAGAATTGCAGCCATCATGAAGAATTCTCTTCTAGCCGTGTGTTCACATGTATGGCTGGCCCTGGTTTACTTGGTCCTCTTAACATCTTTTGAATTTCTCTCTCCATTCCTCTCTATTGTGGATAACTATTCTAATCCTCATCACCTTGATTCTGGACCTTACTTTATCTCTTTCTCCTGCATGGCTACCTTCCACCTGTCTTCAGAGAACTCATCCTAAAAGCAAATATAATTCTCCTTCCTGTCTAACCACCAAGACACTTCCTCCTGATACTGTTCAGATCTGCTGCTACTGCTTTCTTACAGCCACAGAAGTCATTGTCTTCTCTTCAGTGGCTACAGTCTGCCATTGACGAGAGCAGCATCAGCCACACTGATTGTAATTTCCCACAGTTCAGGTACAGTTGTTAGTTCACTTTTGTTCTAGTACCTTACATAGAACATCTAAAAAGCAGATGTTCAGTAAGTAGTTGTTGAGGAAAAGGAGCTTGAACTGAAACAGACAGGAGAAGTTGGAGAAGCCAAGTGAGCACAGATGCCTTCGCTTCTCTCTACTTTTCACTGTGGATGTGGTTCAGCTGCTTCTGCTTCCCCAAATGATGGGCCTAATAGGGAACTGTAAGCCACATCAACCCTGAATTCAATTTTCTGCACTTAGTGTAGCAACGCTATATTTTAGGTAGCCTCAATTGTCTTTCTATCTCACTTGGATGTGGACAGATGACTAAATAAATTCTAATTGTGTTATATTTAGGCATTTAATGAAATGTGCTACTTGATAACACCCAACTTTTGTAAACCCCAGGTATTGAGTATATTGCTCTATGTCAGACCAACCCATGCACTGGAAAACACGGGCGCTTGAGCTTGGAGTTTTGTTACATTACTTGTAATTTTGTGTTCCTTCAAAATTTTGAAGGAAATTCAGTAATGAAGTAACCCAACAGTACTCTAGCCAGTTAAAGACATAATTTGTGGTATATATTTTATTTTTCTTTTTTGAATCAGGGTCTCTATGTAGTTCTGGCTGTCCTAAAACTCAGTACATAGACCAGGCTGCCCTTGAACTCACTGGCCTCTGACTCTGCTGGAATTAAAAGTGTGTGCTACCACACTTGGAATGCTATATTTCTTAAAAATGTATCTTTTCATTTCTTCTATCATTGAAAAATACAGCATATAAACTAAGTACTTTCTTTTTCTAATTGCCATACTGTTCACAATGACAATGAAATTTCTGCCTAAAAGATACATCCAGTGAGAATTGGGCTGTGCATCAGCTGATCACTCTCCT